GGGGGGGAGGGGTGGGCAGAGTCCTGCAGGGGCTACCAGCCCACGAGTGGGGCTGGCAAGCGCTGGTCCTCTGGGACCTTCTCCTCTGCAGCCTCCCCTTCTCTGCGTTTTTTTTTTAGCCCGGGGCAGGGGGCAAGCCAGCACAACAGACCCGTCTTATTTCATGATCTCAGTGAGAAAAATCTGTGCATCCTACGTGGCTCTGGACGTGCTTGGGCCATGTGTACTGCCTGATGAGAGCCCGGCGAGCTTTGCTCAAGCCGTGCCCGTGAGTTTTGCTGTGGTCGTGCTGTGAGTGCTGCATCAGGAAGTTCAGCAGAAGCTGTGGCTGCGTAGGCTGAGCGTTAAAGGGCAGCAGCACATCCCCAAAAACGAGCGAGCAGCTCCTGCAGGACCCCAGCTTTCCTCTGGGTGGCCGGAGGAGATCTAGGGGTGTTGAGGGCCCCCCAGCTGGGAACCAAGATTTTGAAGTCAGGGTGATGAACCTCATGGCCGGGGTGGGAGGGGAGGGGTGGGCAGAGTCCTGCAGGGGCTACCAGCCCACGAGTGGGGCTGGCAAGCGCTGGTCCTCTGGGACCTTCTCCTCTGCAGCCTCCCCTTCTCTGCATTTTTTTTTTTAGCCCAGGGCAGGGGTTAAGCCAGCACAACAGATGGACAGAGACACATATATCTTGTTCAGAATGTTCTTAATTTTAATTTATTTTCTTTAATTTTTATAAAATACATCTTGTAAGATAAGTCTCTAAAAACTTGCTCCTTTTTTATTGCTTGTTAACAAGTTGAAATTCTAGATCAGAAATGAAGGAAACACTTTCAGTCGATTAACTCTCTTTTTGCGCGTGTGTGTGTGTGTGTGTGCACATGTGTGCGTGTGTGTGTGTGTGTGTGTTTGGGGTCTAGGGACAAGGGTGGGAAGGAGGATCTGGTTATTTTTTGTTAAATGGATACCAAAAAAACCCCAGCAACCCCCCAAGAGAGATAGCGGCGATGTGAATTCCCAGATCTTGACTGGTTTCTCCCCACCCTGCCATCCCTCCTGGCATCTCCCCCCTCCCCAGCCCGTGTGCGTTGGTAGCCTGGACAACCCATTTCAGCATTCCCAGTGGCAAGGATCCTTCGAACGCTCTGCTCAGCAGATCTGCTCCTTTATCCTTGCCCCTGCTGAAACCGGCAGTTAAAAAAAAAAAATATAATAGTAATACAGATCAAAAAAATAAAAATAATAATAATAAATCCATGCAAGATGGAGCTACAGTCTGCCACTGAAAGTAGTTTCTCCAATAAATAAACACTAAGATTAGCATTAAGGAGAAGCAGAGAAGAGTGAAACAAAATACCAGTTGGTGGGGAGGACTGGAAACAGTATTTTGGTGGGTCTGGCTGGACCCGTGCTACCCAGCCAGAGGGCTTTCCTCCAGCTGCCCTGGAGAGCAATCATGGGGGAGAGGTCACCTTCACCAGAGCCCTTGTCCTGCTGCCCCCCTCCATGGGAAAAGACTGAACTGGCACCAGAATGGATCTGGTTTGCAGAGATGGGCTGTGTTTCCACCCCGGGACCTCCAAACCACCCCCTTTCCTTCTTTCCTTAACTCCTTCATGGGTTTGGGCTGGAAGCGAGATGCTGCTGGTCCCCCCAGCCCTGGCAGACACAAGACAGTTGTCCTGACTTGCAGGAAATGTGGAATGTAGAGGGGTTGGGGAAAAGTGAGGGGAAGAGGGGGGACAAGAAGGAGGGGAAAGTTACATTTGAGACGTCCTTAACTCCTTCATGGGTTTGGGCTGGAAGCGAGATGCTGCTGGTCCCCCCAGCCCTGGCAGACACAAGACAGTTGTCCTGACTTGCAGGAAATGTGGAATGTAGAGGGGTTGGAGAAAAGTGAGGGGAAGAGGGTGGACAAGGAGGAGGGAAAGTTACATTTGAGACAGATGAGAAACCAACCAAGCTCTCCGGCGCAGCGGAGGTTAGAGAAGCAGACGTCACCCCAGAGAAGAGCACCATTGTGAAGGGACGAGAGCGTGCGGCGAGCGCGGCGCTGGCAGGGCAAGGGTGGGCAGGCCGGGGGGGGGACATCCCCCCTGCCTGCCAAGGGGTGGCTCTGGCTTTACGCTCCTGGGGCACAGAGCAGAGACATCCCCTCTCGGTCAAACCTATCTGCCACCTCTTTACCTGGAGGGTAAAGCCAAGAGTCCCCCCCTTGTCTTAGAGAGACACCAAACTCCTTTAGGCTTTAATAAGGGGCAGCTGGGTTAGGGCTTTATCAGCATTGGGGTCAGCACTCTCTTCTCCGCAATGGGAAGATCCTTGCCCTGAACTCCCTTTGCCTTGGCTGCAGCAGGCAATTTGGGGTAAATTCATCATCTTTCTGTGCTAAGGGAGAAGAAGAAAAAAAAAAAAGTCCTTATTCTCCATCCACGGGTGGTGACAGCAGACAGCTCCAGGAGAGTCTCTAGCAATGGTACCAGGACTGGGCCAACTTCCTTTTCTCTCTAGGTAGCCCCTTGCTACTCGTAGAGCAACCTACATGGATTTCCTCCTCCCAGGAGCATGAAGGCCTTTGCTCATCTCTAGGCAACATTGGGACACTGGAGTAAGTCCCTCCTCTTCTCTGGTTGGTTTTGGTGGGCTTGGCCCTAGAGCGAACCGGTTACGGATGAGCAGAGAGAGAAAAGTGCATGAAGAGGTGTCCATTGGTGGGAAGCTCTCCTTCCTGGTCACGCTCAGCACGATGGATGCGAGGGAGGAAGAGGAGGGGAGTCAGCGGCGAAGGCAGAGTTAAGGCAGGAGACCTGGTGTCGGGTGGCTGCAGTGTTAAAGCCTCGAGGTTAGAGAAAAGAAGGGCATTTGGTCTGGCCGGGATCCACAGCGCAGGCTAGAACTTGGTGCCTCGGCCCATCAGCTTGAGGACGGCAAAGTTGTAGGTGGCGGCGATGATGAAGGTGAGCTGTGGGTGGGAAGAGAGTGAGCGAGGAGGGAGGAGGAGAAACGAAGCTCCCACGGGTGAGGAGGGCAAGCGAGGTGGGACTTCTCGCCGGGGTACGTCAGAGGTGGCATCCCCCAGCCCAGCACCCCAACAAGGCAGTTGCCCCACGGAGCCCCGTTGCCCCGCTGCACCGGTGGGCCAACCTTGCTGGTGTAAAGCAAGAGGAGATCTGGGGGGAGGCAACAGTGCCTCTCCCCAGCGATCTCCTAAAGCCTCTCCAGATCCCCTCCAGCAGCCACCTCTACCTTCTTACGGCCTGAATTCATTGTCTGCACTTATGTGCCAGAAAATGACACCAGCACGGGCTCTGTCTCGTCCACACCCACCACCTCTGTTGTCCTCTGCCCCCACATCCTCGCCGGACGGAGGAGAACGGCCGGGCAGGGGGAGCACCGACTCACCAGTGAGACCAGCGTGGCAGCCGCCCCCACGAAGGCTGCGATGAAGAGGTGGAAAGTCATCTGGAACTGCAAGGGAAGAGAGAGGGGGGGTGAGCTCCCCAGGGTCCCACAGACCGCCGAGGACACCCACTGAAGGGAGGGCACGTGGGGGGACAGGAGGTGCTCACCTCGCTGGTCTTGCAGATGGAGAGCAGGTTGGAGCCGCATACCTTACCGGGGAAAGCATTCCAGGGCAGGACGCCTGGTGAGATATGGGGAGCCGGGTGAGATGGGCATGGCCACCATCCAGCTGCCTTGCCCAGCCTCCCACACGCACACACACACACCCGCAGCTTTTCAGGGTTCTTCAGCACTTGCCCCTGCTTTATCCCAGCGTCATCTGCCTGGACCCTCTCCTCCATCCCCTCTCCTCCACCCAGAGTGCTGGCTCCTGGGCAAGGAACCCGGCACTCACCGTACATCCTGGCATCCGCACACAGGGTGCCAATGCTGGCCGAGGTCTTGCTGGGGTTGGCAATGGACTGGCAAGTGGTCCAGGTGTTAAAATAGATGTAGACGGGCACCGCGGAGCAGGCGAAGACCAGGAGCCAGATGATGGTCAGGACGTAGGTAATGCCCACAAACTGCAAGGGGCAGGACAAGCCAGGGCAGAGCTGGGGTTACCAAGCAGCCAGGGACAGGGGACAGGGGAGCGCGAGGGTCCCCAGGCAAGGAGAGGGCATGGGGCAGGCAGGGGGCTGAGATGCTGCCTGCATCTGGCTCCACACTGCCCGCCAAACCCGGCGTATCCCCAGGTGGCCACCCCTGCGGCTCATGGGGCCAGCACCAGCCCCAGCTTCGCAGCCGGCTACGGGTGCATGGAGGTGCCCAGCGGTGGCAGCAGGATGGCTGCCACATCCCATGCAAGGGGGGGAAAACCCATGGCCACGGCCAAGCAGGGTTTGGCCTCTGCTGGAGGGCAGCTGCAAAACCTGCCTTGGCATCACCATGGGGCTCTCCTGCCCTCCCTCCGCCGTGCCACGCCGACCCGCCCCCCAGGGAACCGCAGCCGTCCCCCTCCGCTCCCCCAGGACACGGGGGACTTCCTCATGGTCCCCAAGCACAGCAGAGAGGACAACCCTAGTGCCACTGGGTGCCAGAGGGCATTGGGCTGCCGGCACCGCGGGGATGCTCATGGCTGTCCCCATCAATGCTTAAACTTTTCCCAAGGAAGTTATGAATGCTCCATCCCTGGAGACATTCAAGACTCAAATACTCAAATACAAACTTGAGTATAAGTTCCACCTAAACATGAGGAGGAGCTATACTATAAGAGAGGTAGAGCACCAGAACAAGCTGCCAGGGAGGTGGTGGAGTCTCTGTCTCTGGAGACATTCAAACCCCACCTGGACACATTCCTGTGCAATCTGCTCTGGGTGGACCTGCTTTGGTGGGAGGGGTTGGACTAGATGATCTCCAGAGGTCCCTTCCAACCCCATATGATTCTATGATTCTAAGACCAGGCTTGGATGGGGATTTGAGCAACCTGGTCTGGTGGGAGGTGTCCCTGCCCACGGCAGGGGGGTTGGAACTGGATGAGCTTTAAGGTCCCTTCCAACCCAAACCACTCTGCGATTCTATGAAGTGGCTTCATTAAACGTGGTTATTTATTTTGGGCAGCTTTGGGTCCCCAGGGGCCGTTGGCAGACCTGGGGGAGGGCGGTTGGGCTGCGTTTCCCTTCGGGACCACCCCCCAAAACCCCGACGGCCGCAGCCTCCTGCCCTTTGGCCACGCCGAGCGTGGCGAACCCGCTGCGGGGCGCGCGAAGGGGTGCTGAACCCCGGTTAAGATCACCTTGTCAGGATGTCCTAGCCACTTTCCCAAACACTGACACACTCGCTGCAACGAGTGAGCTCGCTGGGGGCCTCGCGCTCCCCTCCCTTTCGGGCCCCCAGTTACCGTTGCGCTGAGGCCCTTGCCGCAGATGGTGGTCCTGTAGTCCCCGAAGATTTGCCGGACGGCACCGGTGGTGTAGAAGCCTTCGGCCAGCAGCAGGGCTCCGTAGAGGAAGAAGAAGGAGGCCGTGCCATAGATGACGTACTGAAAAGCGTGGATGCTGCCGGGGAGAGGAGTGGGCTCAGGTGGAGGGGACATGGCCGGGGCAACCTCCCCACACCACCCCGGGGGGGACCGAAATGGAAGGTGAAGCTGCAAGAGGAGCAAGCTGGGGCAAAGCCATGGCTAGCAAGGTGATGGGACACTGTCAGCTTCTCTGCACCCTCCATACCTACCCAGTGTAGAAGTCCAGCACTAGCCAGGACACCTAGCAAGGGTCAGATAAAAATAGGCATGAAAAGGAAACAAGTGGCCACCAAACCCTGCTGTGCACCCGCGGCATCAGCACATGGCAAACGCAGCCTGGGGTCTCCATGGTGCCCAGGTGACAGCATCGCCCTGGCCAGTATGGCCAGGCACCTCCTCCTGGTGGTGCAGAGCAAGATGGAGAGGCGAGGGGTCCCGGCGCAAGGGTGATGCACCCCAGCAGGGTACTTACACGTCGATGAGATACTCGTAGTCCTGGTAGTTTTTGGAGAAGTAGGTCTCAATGAGCTGCTCGGTGCCTGTGAGGGCTTCGTGCCCACAGCCACAAAACAGCGCTACCCCGAAGAAGCACAAGCCAGTGGCAACCAACGAAGCAAAGGGTGCCCCGATGAGACATCTGGCACAGCACTCAAGCAGACCTAAGGAGAAGAGAGGGGAGGTGGGATGGGACCGCCGGGATGGGGAGCACTCAGAGCAGGCAAGCATGGGGGGAGGAAGGTGCCCAGCGGGAGGAGGGAAGCAGGTTGAAGGAAAAACCCAGAAACGATTTATTGTGGTGTGGGAGATCCAAACCCAGCAGCTTCCCCACGAGCTCTCTAAGCAGCACCCAAGGGTGCCCAGGGACAGGGGGGTGACGGCAGCGTGGGGCACCGGGGTCACCACGAGGCAGCCCCTGGGTGTGAGGTGGACGGGGAGCTGAGGTGAACCATCCGTCACGACCCACACGAAGCGAGATGGAAATACAAGGCGACGTAGCGTGATGCCAGCGGGACCCACCAAACAAGCTGCTAATGGGCTCCCCGCTGCCGGCACAGCCCGGATGCAACGGGGACACCGGCTGCCCCTTCCATTTTTCTTTCCACCTCGAAGATGGAGGGGAACCCAGCACCTCCACATGGACAAACCCCACTGGAGCCCCAGCAACGTAGCCCAGCCTTGGGGCAGGGCGAGAAGAGCCAGCACATACCCCAAGCACCCCGGGCTTCGGGGTGGCGGGTTGGGGGGCACTCATCCCCTCTCCTGGCACCCCGCGGGCAGCTCGGGCTGCAGCAGCCCCGTTACAGATGTACTTATGGAGAGGAGACGCATTAGTTCCCCAAAACGTCAGCGCTTGTGTAATGGGTTTAGTCCTCCAGGACAGGTATTTGGCAGGAGGGCACGTGTACCTGAGCGTGGGGAGGGAAAGCAAGGGCACGAGCCTAAATTGCCTAAATGCTGGGTTGTTTTTCAGCAGTGGGGCCACGGGCACCTGCTCCTTCTGCACGCCAGGGCTCTGATGTGCAGGATCATTGCTCGGGTTCCCCAAAGGGCTGGGTTGGGAGATGCTCAGCCGGCCACTCTCCTGCTCAGTTTGGGGGCGGGCAACCAGTTGGGTTTGCACCCACTTCGGGAGCATCAGTTTGGCTCCAGCTGAGCTGTGACAACCTGGCTGTGCAACACCTCTGCCCAGGAAAGCTGCTCCCCTTCCCCAAAACGCAGGCTCCGGCACCCCACTGTCCCATCTGGGCATAGTATTTGTGCCTTGAATGCCAAAAAAAGGCACCTGTGGGAAGCATTCCCAAACCCACGCTCCCTCCACGGACCCCACGGGTGCTTATCTCCTCCCACAAAGGACAAGAAAGCCCCGGGGTCCTGGCCAGCAGTGCCCTCCCCTCCCCACGGGGAGCAAGGTCGCGCGGTGGCACCGAGGACAATGGGGGATTGTCCTGGCACTGCCACCCCGGCGGCTGCCCCGTGCCCAGAGCAAACAGGGAACAAAGGCTGTGCTATGGGGGGAGCGCTGGGACCCCCCCACCCTGTTTGTTTGCCTTGGAACACAACAGGTCCTGGGGAGAGGGGGGGGGGGTGTCTCGCTCCTCCCCACCAGCACTGCTCCCTGAACCTCACTGGGACCCACAGGGACGGCCAGCGGGGTGCTGGGTCTTTTTATTTTTGGCCACCTGGGAAGCAGCGTGGCAGCTTCCCAGGGGGCTGGGGGACGGTGAGTGGGTCCTTTCCTGGGGGGGCTGCGGGTCCCGGGATGCAGCAGGAGCCTGGCATGCTCCCTGCCACAGCTCTAGCCCCTTGGGCTTTGGGAAGGCAGCCTGGGGAGGAAGAGGGAGGAGAAAAAGAGCCCTTGTGCTGCACAATCCCAGGCCTTGTACCCGGGCTCAGCTGCTGCTGGAGCCAAACAATACGCTGCAGACAGGAGGAGGAGGAGGAGGAGGAGGCAGGGTGCTGGCACCCATGGCACCCCTGGGAACAGAGCACTCCTGATGCCCAGGGAGGGAGGGGGGCACGCCGGTAAGTATTAGCTCTGGGGTAGTGATAGGGAAACTGAGGCACGAGGAGTGCCTCTCTTCTCCCAGGGCTGCCGGCATACAAGTGGCACAAGCTGTGACAGGTCTCAGCACTCTGCCAGCACCTCCCAGCTCCCACCAGCCCAGGGTAGGACCTCCGTGCGGCAAGGAGTCGGGTGGGATTGGGTGTGGGGTTGGCATCTGTCCCCCCACGGGCAGCCCATGAGCACACAGGGAGGGAAAACAGCTTTGGGAAAGAAAACCCCATCCCTGCTGTGCCAAGGCATCCTCCGTCCAGCTCCCACAGCTGGCACGGCCACACCGGAACCTGACCGGTGTTTCAGGGAGAAGCTCCGCTCTGGGACAAGGTCCCCAGAGCCACCAGTGATGGATTCCCCCCGTGTCTCCGCCACCCTCACCCCCATACTCACCCATGGTGCTGGACTTGGTCAACTCCCCCGACCGCCCGCCCGCTCGGCTGCTTCGCTGCTCTCTGTGGGAGCCCTCGCCTGCCTGGCACTCCCTCGCCCTGTATGTCCCCCTCTGGGTGCCTGTCCCGCTCTCCAGCAAAGAAAAGGGCTCTCTGAGTGACAGCCACCCCCCTTAAAGGAACAGAACCCCAGATC